CGTCTGGACCAACACAACTAGCATCTGTTCGGTGCGGCTTCCTCTCCCTTCTTTTTCTGCCCAAGGATGGTTTAGGGCCAACATATGCATACATCAGATGTTGCAGATGCTAGCAAAGGCAGGCTGCGCTATGGCTGCCCTGGGGAGATATTCCAGCTACGGTGAACACCAGGAGGTTGACAGCTTGTTAGGAAAGGCAGGAGGGAGTGAGGCTGGCGGGTGGACAGCTTGTTAGTCCATGCTACTTATTGACAGCTGCCTACATATTTAGTAGGAGTGACAATTGGTTTTTGTTAGAAGCACACATGAACTTTCTCACTCCCGCATGGTTGTAGGCCTCCTGGCCAACCCTGGGAAGGCAACGTGGTCCCAGCAACAGCCAAAATCTGTGCAGTTTGCAACGGCCCTTGCACACACATGCAGGGGTGAGTTTCACACTCAGTGCTACCAGTACCTGAAAAACGATCGGGGCAGGGACTGCCGCTTTCTCAGGGAACTCCTGCCCACCCGGTGCCCATGAACAGGCAGGGTCTGACTCCTTTGAAACCGTACCTGTCTGCTGCAAAGAAAAGAGAGCTGAAGGGAAGGAGCCTACAGGGCTGCGGAGGGGAGCAGCGACCTGCATCCAACACCTCCCTGTCTCCTTCCATAGCCGCATCGGCAGCAGTTGTGCTGCACTGCACATGACAGCAGCCTCCAGCTGAGAGCATGACCTAAGAGAAAGAACCAAACTCAAGCCACACAGCACCATCTTTGAACCCAGGAGGCTGCTGAATCCTTTTGGTGCATCTGCACCTCTGACATAGATCTCCCATTTCTCTTGAAGATACCAGGGATACTGCAATCCCCCTCAACCCCCAGACCTCTGTGATCTGCCGCCTTCTGCCCAGACACCCAGCTACAGATCCCACCGGCTGGCTTTGGACACCAGAGTGTGAAACCACAGGGGTGTCAGCAGGCCAAGATATGATCTGCTTAGATACAAGTGTCTGATGCAACTGTCAGTGCCCTGGGCCCATTCTGGTTAAGCCTGGCAGGATCTTGCCTGGTGCACAAGTCTATCTGTGCCACATCTGCTGCTTTGCATGGACATCTTGGACACCTCAGGAGACTGGAAGCGGTGTTAGATGCCTATTCTCAGGCACATTAATTGGTCCCATGCCATGTTCTGGACCACACATGTTCTGGAACTTAGGCTCACACTTCATCAGTATCCTCCAAGCCCCACGGAACAGGATGGTGTGGGGTCCTGCTGCCGGAAGAGTTTCCCATTATGTGCATCCTGGGGGCTGTGTTAAGCAGAAAAGCTAGCAGTCAGCCTCCCTGGACTCACAAAGCAAATCCCCAAAACACCTTTATGGATGCATGGTCTGCAATTTTCCATTGCATCCCTAGCTCTGCCAAATGGACTACAGGTTTTTAGGCCTTTCATTGGTACTTTTCAGTTTGCTGTCCTTGTTTCTGATCCACTTATTTCATGCTTTTATTGCCAATGCCATGTCATCTGTGCATCTCCTGAAGTTCTGCCCTTGGAAAGTCCTTCCCACTGCTGCACCTGCTCTTCTGCCCGCATCCCACAGTGCTCTGTAGAAGTCCCCCACAAGCTGTGAGTCCTCCAGGAGGAAGAGACTTGGCCACCACCCATGCTGCACAACAGCCTGCATAAGACAATTCAGCACTGCGAAATAGCACTAAAGCCCCCACATATATACACTATGCAGGAGACTCCCAGAACTTCCAAAACCATTTGTGCACCTCTGGGCCACTCCTTGTGGGACTGTATGTACTCCCAAGGTACAAAGTGGGTACACAGACCATTAAGCACAGGCAGAGATGCAGCCACCAACCTGAGCCCCAGCACTTCCATTACAAGCTGGGCAGGGAAGAGGAAGACATGTCACAGGGTCTGTTGGTGCAAAAGTCACATATGTCTGCCCACCACCCCAATGCTAGGCAGGACATTAGCATCTCCCTTAGTGTATGAGAGCTTCACCACCACTGTCCAACACTCCTTTCTTGCTCACTGTAGCTCCATAGGCCTTGTCTGTCTTATAGTGTAGTAGCACGGGGGTCAAATTTGTTTCCCTGGCACCAAAGGGGTTCACAGTTCCTCAGCCTCTCCACGCAAGCTGCATGTTGTGAGGACCTCTGGGGAAGAAGGTTACCCTGGCCCTCACGCACACTGCTTCTTGTCAGGGCCTCCACAGCACTCTCCCAGTATATCCCCTCATCCTTGATATGCTCTTGCCTAATGGTCCCGGCAAGAAGCGGGACAAGGGTAGGAAGGTGAGGGAAGAGGCAGTCTAGGTGTGTAAGGACAGCCTCAGGTAGGCCCAGAAGCTGCCCACAGCCCTGAAAAGAGCAGACTCTGCTTCATGGCTCAGCGGTCCCAACCTCGCAAGAAGCAGGATTACAGAGAGCTGCTGTGGGAGAGCTTCACCACCAAGGCAGCTGGGGAATGTCTGAGGCAAAGGGAAACAGTGCGTGGGAGGTCAGTCTCCCCCATAGCTGGAAAGGTGCTCCTTTGTGAGTGGGCGAAGCCTGGCTGGCTGAAAGTGCCCCTGACCTGTGGAGCTCCAGGGATGCTCCTGGGATCCAGGCAGGTCTGACACACTGCCAGGGATACAAGCCAGGCATCTCAGGAGAGCAGCTGAGAGAACCACTCCCTTTGGACAAAGTGGGATAAACCTTTGCCACAGGGAGGGAAGAAATATCCAGCTGTGTGGCTGTGTCTGAGAGACCCCTGGGTCACGGGGACAAATAACCCTCTGTGCAGGCATGGGTGACAGGACCAGAGTAGCCTCTCCCTACTCTCCATCAGCCCCGCAGCCATCTCAAGGACCTGTCAATGAGCTAGTGCTAGAAGCCAAGCTCCTGAGAGCCATGGACTGCTCAGGATGCGCTTCTGCATCCCCCAGCAATCATACAGCTCTCTGATACTGCACCAAAGCAAGCCCAGCACGCCACATCATAGTCTCAGCTAAACATCAGGGCATGAGGTATTCTGTTACTCAGAAACAGACAGCTCCCTGGGGCACAGGAGCAGTTAAAATTTGTCTCTGAGTGGCAAGAACCATTCATTGTACTGGTCACCACAATCTTTCTCCCAGGACTTTTCTCCTCACTTACTAAAGATAGGCTATATAGCACCACTGGGCTTATATATCAGGGACCTATCTGCACCCACCCTCTTCCGCAACCTCATGATAGATAAGAGAGTCAACCTAATCCTGCTGTGACAGCGCGCCACTTGTGTGCCAGGCAATGGGACAAGCAGAGGACCATAAATCCACAAATAAAGGATGGCAATGGGTGGCAGAATCCACTAAAGCAGGCCCCATGAACTCGGTGTCTCACCTTTTGATGGTTTGGGTGATTGAGGTCTGTCGTTGTAGCACCGGTCTCCTCACTTCATTAGGCAGGGAGGGCACACGGGTGTTGTCGGCGGGCATGCTCACGCTTCGCAGAAAGGTCTGACGTCTCATTGGCTGCAAAGAAAAGCAGGAGGGGGGTCAGTGTTCTCAGACTGATGCTCTACAAGGCCAGTCAGGTTATAAAACATTTAGTCAGCAATTCAAGTCAGCCACCCAACACCCCAACCACAAGCTGGGTGCATGCAGTTGGGCAGCAAAATCAGGCTAACAATGTCTCTGCAGAACACAACCGTCAGCATCAGGGACACAGCATCTGCATGTTGTGGTGGATGTCAGTTCAGGCTGGCTCTAGCCTGGCCCACGGACTGATGTCCATTTGTAGATGGGGTGTATTACATGAGCTTCTGCAAGGTATCCTCCTGGCTTTTTTCTAGCCAGAAGAAACCCAGATCACACACTCCTAGACCACTCCACAATGTGAAGAGAAGCACAGCAAGTGAGATTTGCTTCAAAAGTGACTCTGGGTCTGCATTAAAAGCTTGTGAGAGCTGTGGGGGGGTCTGTGCTGTAGCTGCTGCCTGGTGCAGGCTAAGCAAGCTGAGAAAGCCACATTGGCTTTGTTCATAACCTAATTGTCTGGACACACTCAGGTCTGAAAGCTCCTGGCATGTCTTGGCTGAATATCACCTACCAAATATGACACAACTCACCAGACTGTTCTCAGCCTATACAGCTGCCTCCCCAGAGCTGCTCTGGATTAATTTTTCATCAGCTTGGCAAAGACACTACCTCCCATTTGTAAAATGCAGGCCGAGCAGGCTGTTCCTCCGGCAAGTGAAGCTCTGATCAACGGTTTCTCTGGTCAGACACTGTCTCTGCCTCAAGGCTACGTGCTACTCCAGCCCCTTTAGCTCAGAAAGCTAATAATTTCCACTAATCTTAACATTTCTGTTATTTTTTATGTGAAAACAATGCACAGATACTTAGGTTATAAGCCAAAGGAGCCCCTTATGCACTCTTATCCTGACAGCCTGCACACACCGGACCTACAGAGAACATCACCCCTACCAACTTCCATCATGAGTCCGGAGTGTCTCTTCAGAAAGTGCCCAGCTGGATTTAGAGATTTCAGGTAAAAGATCCATCAACGCCTTAAATAAGTGATTCGGAAGGTTTGAACCTGCACCATTAAAACCCTGCATTCCACTTCTAATCACTGCAGACTGAACCCTGCTCACTTTCCTTCCACAGGAAGACCAGGACCAAAATTCATCTGCCATAACTGGAGTGCATTTTCGTCCCTGGATCAGGGAATGGTGAAGAGGCCAGTCATTGCTGTTCCAAGCACAACATAAGTTCCCTTTTAAGACAAGCTTGTCCTCAACTCCCCTCCATGGGGAGCTGTATAACCCTCCATTGCTTTGATGGCTAAACGGTTCTTTCGTAAAAGCAATGGAACCCAGGCACTGCGCCCCACCCATGGGGCTCCGCAGCAAGAACCCTTTGGCTCTGCCTTTGGTGCACGTAGTCTCTGTTCCTGCAGGTCTTCTACCCAGGTCTCAACTGTATGTACAGTTTTTGCCACCCCGTAGCAGAAATTCCTGTTATTTTTCCTATTCCCAGCACAAATACGGATGTTTTAAGCTCATACTTTGCACAGTTCCTATTAACCTATCACCCCATCTCTACTTCACCACTCTTCAATGTTATTTCTTACACTTATTTCTCATCCCACATGATTTTCTTCTGTTCCTCATGCTGGAAACAGCTTTGTGTTGCCAGTAACTGTTCTTTCTCTGCTGTTACTGACAAGAGCCTGTCATTATCTTGGCTATTCATAAGTCAGATTCATTCCCTGCTCATTTCAGCGCAAGCTCCAGCACTTCCAGGCCCTCATGTTTGTCTAGGAGTCCTTCGCTCCTCCAGTCCCCTTAAGAAATGCTTGTTTGAATACCTCACTCCCATATCCCCCAGCCAGGACACTTTTCACAGTCCCCACGTCCAAACAGTCACATCCACTGATCTGAGCACATCAGCAACCCACCCTCATCCCTCCCACATCCCCTTCAAGGGAGAGTTAATTACTGATCAGATGTTTACCCAGTGGCTCTGCCCCTTCTCATGTGGCCTCATCACCTGGCATCACACACTGCCTTTCTCTCAGCCAGGACTGCCAGAAACCATGGGCACAGGCATACTCTCAGCACAGTGGGGCTCAGCACACCCCCTCCCCAGACCCTCCCTGCTGCCCCCAGCCTCTGTACCTGCACAGGCTGGGGCTCTTCTGGCACTGACACAGGCACCGGCACCGGGATGTCCAGTTTTAACCATGGTGGCTTCTTCCGCTGTAAACTGCTCGTGCTGTCGTGTCGCACCTCCGACATCGTCCCACGTTTGACCTCAGGCCTAGTAGAAGGGAGAAATTACAGTCAGGAGGGGGCCAGGCTCATCCCTGACACGGCGCATGCCAGCAGGGCTGACCAGAGCACCCTCCTCCAGGCTGTGACGGATGGGACCCAAGCCCTACGTTGGATGACTTCCCAAGCTCCTCGTGAGGGTTCAGGCATCACAGCTTGTGTCTGCACTGCTCAGCCAGGACCAGACACTCAGAAGACAGAGTGTGTTTCTAAGGCATGCAGAACCTCGAGCCTGGTGCCAGAGACCGCAGTCGCAAGTTTGAGAGTCACCTCCCACTACAATTTGCTGAGACTACTGAGAGATCCAGATTCCTTAAGAGCCAGCCGTGAATTAAATCTTAATGAGATCTGGATCCAGTCCAACCAGCCAAGGAACCACAGTACCAAAAGCCACTGACCTCACTCTAAAAACAGCTTCTGACTCACACAGGCACCCTTGCCCACCCAAAGCCAAGCACCACACTTTCCTACCTAACTACTGCTTAGCAATTAGCAAGGGGCCATTTCTCATTGCTGGTTCTAATCTCCTTTAAATGTAGTCATTTTCTAGAAACACGACGTAGTGCACAGAGTGATACAAGTATAGCATGAACACTAGAGAACTGGCATTAATCCTGAACTAAGAGTGGTTTTCATACATAAATAATAATGATATGGTATTTAAATAAAAACCGCTGTATTACCAAAACACCAAAGTAACTAGAGTCACTCACTGTCATCTTGCCCACTCTACTATACTGCAACTTTCTCCTCCTGTTCAGGTTGCACGCAGTGGGACAGGGGCCATGTGACTCCCTCAGGCTGTCAGAGCACCTACTTTACTGTGCATGCTCAGAGAAACAACTAAGAAAACAGATTTCATTGGAGGGAGATCAGCTCAGAAAGCTCCACAGGTACCTTCCAACCAAAGTTATTCTACAAGCCTATGTTTCTTCCTCGACAAGCACACATGCAACCGCAAGCTAGCAGTGGGAAGCATACATGCTGAATAGCACAACAGATCCAATTCCCTCCCAGCTCCCTCCCTGCGTTGTTCCAGGCCACAGATCCCATAGGGGACAAAAAGAAAAAATAAAATCAAGAGTTCAGCCTCTTCCCCCACCATGGTGGACAGATGGAATAAGCGTCCAGTTAACTTAGCAGGCACACGATTTGAAAGGGAGTTGGAGAAAAGCCCTCTGTTTGGATTAAAACTCAGTGCTCTTACAATGTTAACGTGGTCAATTTCTTTTAAATGCACAATGATTCAAGGATTCTTCCTTAAGTAGCCAAGTCTTAGGACAGGACCAGAGGAAGACAGACCTCTGTCATTGGAGACATTCAGCACTCAACTAAACAAGGCCCTGAGCAGCCTGAATTATCCCCGCCTTGCACAGCGGCTGAGCCAAACAACCTGCAAAGGTCCCTCCCAACCTAAATTAGGCACTGGTTCTCTGAAACACGCGCTGCCTTTCATGGCATTTCCACCATATTCCCACAGCTCACTGCAGCTGCTCTGGAAAGGGAGCTGCACAAACAGTGAAGCTTACCATTGCAAAAGATACAGGGCGGGAGGGGGGAAATAGGTCAACGAAAGGGAGTGGGGGATGATCCGGATCGGGTTAGGAAAAGAGAATCTCATCTAAAAGGAGCTGAAGACCAGCTGCTGGCTCAGTCGTATAAGCTGGGCTGGCTGCCAGGAGCGCCGTGCTCAGCTGAGCCGGAACGACAGAAAGGGAGGACTCAGCTGTAGGTGGATGAAGGTTGGGTTTCAGCAAATACCACAGGCCCCCAAAAGTCTGGGAATTCACAACGCAGCCTGTACAGACATGCCCTTAGTACATGCACCATGGTCCTGTGTGCACAGACGCAGTGCTGCGCATTAGAGGAACACAATTCCTTCCTTCCCTCCACCCCTAGCCGCAGGGGTGACTAAATGCATCTGTTCTAACTTCCTATAAGATGAGAATAGTGAGAGTATTAGGGGAACTCCCGCCTGCTCTTGGTAAGGGTAAATCCACTATGAGAGAGCTTTCAGTCTTGCACATAAAATAGGCAAACTTGTCTTCATGGTGAGGTCAGGAAGCAAAGCAGATTCCTCATACCTGAAAAATGCCCTCAGTCCAATGCAAATAGCTCCAGCATTTACCCCATGAGGGTCACAAACACCAGGTCTTTCTGAGATGCTGTAATCAGAGACGAGCCAAGCAGGACAGAGCCACCACTCTGGTGTGACCAAACACAACCTGTTTCAAACATAGGCCCCTTATGACACAACTCGGGAGTCTCCTCCCCTGAATTAGCAACTCTTCATCTTCCAGCATCTCTTCGATGATCAGACATCACTCAATCTCCTTCCTGTCCACCTACAGAGCTGCCTTTGTGAGCAGATACTTTGGGTATAGAGAATACAAACATGTAAGAGTTGCAGCTTTATCAAACAGTGAGGCCAAGCTAGGAAGGCAGTGAATGAATGAATCACTCCTGTATTAACCAAGAGCTCCTGCAACAACACTGTGGTCTCTGAAAGACTTTGTGATGAAATCCACTTTCAAATCCCCTCCTAAATAGCCACAGACTGGGATGTCCACTTATCCAGCACGCTAGCGTCATTGTGACCCATGCGGACTAGAGCATAGGGACCTCCAGCAGTGTGCACACATACCACATGCAAAGAAGAGGAAAGAGCATGCATGCACATGGGGCAAAGCCCATGGCCTTCCATTATCCCCAGAGTTAGCTCAACTTTGTACTTTACACAAGAAAAAGATGTCTCGATGAGATTCACAGAGCTGACAGAGGCAATGGACTGCTTTGCCCAAACTTCAGCAGTTAAAGAGTTCTTTAAAGCCTTCTTGAAAAGGCTGGGGACCCTATTTCAACATTTCCCTGTGCCTGAAGGGTTTGAACCTACATCTGCCACCCTCCTTTGAGGCCACAGCAATCAGAAATCAAGACCTTTAAAAGCAGAGAATGCATGAATGCTCTACTGAAAAAATAAGGTCACGTATTACAGAAAGCAGTATCTTGCCTCAGAAGGATGTTAAACAATAAGTAAAATGGGTATTTGCCATATAAATATACATTGTCTCCCTTGTTCTTGTAAAAATAGCAAAGCATCAAAATGGACATACAATAATTGGGTAAGTACACGCAATGTTTAAAAACCTGGTGAGTTTCAAGTGTGACCGCAAACAGAGTACTTAACTCAGGAGCAAATTCTTCTCCCAGTTTGACCTTTTTTACTTACTAAAACATCCGTTTCCCAATGAAAGAGGGCAGTGAAGGCAGAGCTGTTCAGCATTGCCAACTACACGTGTGGAGTTGAAGTGGCCAAGAACAAACTTTACAAACACACGACGTGAAACTTGCAGCTCTTGCCCTAGCAGGGCCTGATTCCCGGCACGCTGTGAATACACAGCCACAGCGCAGGTCAGCCAACTGCCCCTGACCCAGGGCACAAGAGAGACAGGGTATGGACACAAGAGGCAGGTCTCCGGGAGGTTAATGGTGAGACTAAATGTGGATCCAGCTGTATACATAGACGTACAGACTAGCTGTACAGAGATGTATAGCTGTGTACGTAGATGCACAGCTGAACACAGTCTTTGCAAGGCAGGTAACACCCGTTATTACACCTGGTCCTCACACAAGGTGCTGCAGCCACCAGTTTCTGCCTCAGCACTGCACTAAAAGCACGTGCTGAGTTTCACTCTAACCCCTTGATTATTTTTAGGGGTTAGTGTTTCAGGATAGTGTCCACTATTTAATCAGGCCAATGGGCTTTATTTCTCAGTTGATTGCATTGACACATATTTCATTTGAATGGTCCCATAACCTCAGTCCCAATTTCTCCGTACTGTCCTAACAAGCGTTTTCAAGAGGTCACTGACAGCAGCAGGATAGGAAGATGCACAGCACAGCCATGCAAGATCAGGCCAAACATCCTTCTAAAGCCAGTATCGCGTTTCCAACAGAGGTGCCTGGCAATGGGCACAGAGTACAGGATCACTCGACAGTCATATCTCCCAGGACAGAGTCACGGCATGTGCTATGAATAACTCTGAGGCTTCTTGTGCCAGAGATGTCTTTGCACTTAATGGTTCTGTATCCATCCAATGATTTTTCTTCCAGAATTTATCCAACCCGTTTTTTAATCCAAGCAAACTTTTAGTGTTCATAACTGCACATGACAAAGAGCTCCACAACCGAAACACATGCTGTGTGACAAGCCATCTTCTTCAGTTTGTCTCTAAACCTGCCATTTCTGGGTTTGCGTATGCCCCATAGTTCTTTGGCTAGAAGAGTGAACAGCTTTTCCCTGTCCTCTTTCTCCATGCCAATCCTGACTCTTCCATGGCCTTCCTATCATCCTCCCTTCCCGCAAACACAATGGGATATACATCCAGCTGCTCAGTCCTTGGACAAGAGCTGTTCCAAACCTCTCACCTGTGGTTGTGGTTTGCAGCACCTCTCAAAGTCCAGAAAATGCTCCACCAACCTAAATATCAGTTAAATATCTTCATCCTGTGTAGGCGGAAATGTTCATGCTTTCAAAGCTTTTGTGACTTGTCACTGGGGCTTGAAATTCAACTTTTGTAAACCGTCAGGATAGCGACTCCAACAAGTGGCATCAAGAGAGAAGTCTCCACTATTACCAAAACCACGTAGGAGCTATTGGAGAGACGGGCAAGGAGACTGGGTGAAGTGACAGGGAAAAGGTGGAATGGCCCAGTACCCACCCAGATTTCTCCCAGTCCTGGTGCCACCACCTGCACTGCTCAATCGCCTCCGAAGCTGTTCCCTCAGCATCACAAAACTGAGGAAGCCAGAAATACAAACTCTTCTCCAGCACACAGGCTGAACGCGAAGCATTTACAAATCCAGCTTCTTCTAACTGATCAGCTGCATGTACAACTGTGGTAGCAGCACAAAAATGATTAATAAAGTCCATTTCAATTAAAATAAATAAACAAAAGAAAAAACTTCTGTATTGCAGATACTC